CTCCTCTCCTATCTTCCTGATTACTGTAGAGGACAACACATCCTCTCAGTCTCTCAGGTTCACAAACTAGGAATCATCCTGAATTCCTCACCATCTCTCATCTCCCATATCTAATCTATTTTGAAGGGCTGTTGATTTCACCTTTGCAATTTTTCTCGAATATGCTGCCCCCTTCTTTTTATTTGACACTGCCACCACTCTAGTGCAGGCCCTCATCACCTCATACTCGGATTATTGTAAAAGCCTGCTGGTGGATCTGTCTGACTCGTCTCTCCTTTAATTCACTCCCCCCCCCCCATTTAGCTACTAAAGTGATTTTCCTAAAGCACAGGTCCTATCATGCCAGCCCCTTACTCGTAAACTCCAGAGGCTCCCTATTACTTTCAGGAGAAAATACAAAATGCTCTGTTTGGCATTCAGAACCTTTCATAACAGCCTCCTCATACCTTTCCAGTCTTCTTACACCTTACTCCCCACCACATACTCTTCAATTCTGTGACCCTGGCTTCCTGGCTGTTCCATGAACAAGACACTCCATCTCTTGGCTCTGGGTATTTTCTGTGGTTGTCTCCCATGCCTGGAATGCTCTCTCTCCTGCTTTCCTTTAAGTCCTCCCTGGCTTCCTTGAAGTCCCAACTAAAAATATCTTCTAGCAACTCTTTCCCAACCCTTCCTAATTTCTATTGCTTTCCCTCTCTTATTTACTTCCTATTTATCCTGTATGTCCCTTGTTTGTACATATTCCTTTTGTGGTCGTCTCCTCCATTAGATTATAAATTCCTTGAGGGCAGCAACTACTTTTTGCCTCTTTTTGTAGCCCCAGGCTTAGCACAGTGCCTGGCATATAGTAGATGCTCAATACATGTTTATTGACTGATTGACAGAGGTAAATAAGAAAAAGCCTTGCCTTTGCTCAACCTCTCTGCCTGGTTCAGAGCAAACAAGGGAGGCTGGAGAGAAAATTGAGGGCTGCAAGCAAGGGTGTACTGAAACCATCTTTTTTAGGCAGTCAGGGTTAAGTAACTTGCCCAGGGTCACACAGCTAGTGAGTATCACGTGTCTGAGGCCAGATTTGAACTCAGGTCCTCCTGACTCCAAAGCTAGAGTTCTATCTACTGTACCACCTAGCTGCTCCTTGGAACCATCTTCAATTGAGATAGTGAATAGTTAAATTTTCAGTGTGATCATTAAGACTTTGGATATCCTAAACTCTGGGAATCAGGGCTTGATTTATTGTTTTGTTGATTTTTTATACTTGAGAATGATGGAGAAAATTTACTAATATAGATTAAAATTAAAAATGTGTTGTGCATACTACCTCTCTCTTCCCTCTCTCTGCCTTCCTCCCAGGTCGTTAATCATTTGTGGTTGCAGACCTACTCACCACTCCCTGACTACTATATATAAGGTTATTTATAACAGCTCTCTCTCCTCTCTTCATTTACAATCTAGGAATCCCCGCCTTTTTATTTTTCCTTTTCCATCAACAGGAGAAGTGGGTTGGGTAGGACTGTGAGGGACCTCTGATTAAAACAGTCCGTCCTGTACTGCTGTTCTCAAGGACCATCACTACAGTTTACTCTCCTTGAGGAGTGTGATGAAGGGGCTAGAAGAGTGAAAGGCTTGTACATGTAGGAAGATTGTGCTAACTTCTTAGTTCCTAGACTCCTCTCTGCTTATGGCCTGCTTGAGCCCCACCCCTCAAAGGGCTGCAGAGTGGGAGAGACGGGAGGAACCATACGTTTTTCGTTTGTGAAGAAGAAATAATTTTCTCAGCCCATTGTGCAGATGTGCAGATCTCCAATGAAAGTGCTATTTGCCAATAAGCTTGTATGCTTCCAGCTTCCCAGAGTCCTGGGTGCGCTTGTCTGTCTCCTGGGTAAGTCTTGCTGTCTTTACTTGTGTTCCCTTCATGGGCCCTTTAGCTTTGAGCCCATGAGGAGGGTAGCAATGGGGTCTCGTCGAACTCTCCAACCTAAGCTCTTGGGCCTGAGAGATGCTTGGCCAGCTATGGCAGAGTAGAGCCCTTGGTGGACAATGGGGAGGGGAGCTTTTCTTAATTCTTGGCCCCACAGCCTGCTTTGGGTGGAGGGGAAAGTTGAAATTTATTACAGGAGAAAAATAAAAGTGACAGAATGGAAGGTCATAGAACTGAGGCTGAGAAGTGGGGGTGGGGTAGGTGCTGCTAGGATTTTGACTGAGTATAGAAATAAGGAGAAAGGGGCATCTTTATTTAGGTTACTTCCAGAGACCCCATTCTTTCCTTACCAACCCCTCAAGGAGGCTGGTCTGAACATTGATTCAGAGTAGTTTTTCCATGCCTGGGGTGAAGCCCCTAAGCTTGAAAGACATTAGTTTCCCTCATAAAGATGCACCCTCTCTCTTTGGGTCACAGAGCCTTTCCTGCACATCTCAGATCCACCAAATTATATTTAACACAGAAATAGCTATTATCTCTCCTAAAGCTTCTGTCTCGGCTCAAAAGGTCCCCATATTCCACCTTTAAAGTTGAAATTTATAGCAGCTGACTCTGCTTGCAGTGTATTATTTTAGAAGGTGAATGCCTCACCCCATCCCCAATATATCACCAATGATTTTTCTAGAAATATTTTTTTCTGAACTGCCCTCATCTGTATCAGACTTGTTCCTACCCTTACCCTTCTCATGTTCTGGAGTCTCAGCTCTCCTGTCTGTGAAAAGGTTCAAATGTAAAACCTCCTGTTGGGGTTTTTAATACCCTTCCTAACTTGCCCCCTTTCTTTCCTTTCCAGTCTTTTTACACGTTACTCACTTCCCACCCCCACCTCCAATCCTCATACCTTGTGATACAGTAACATTGGCCTCTGTGAGCAAGGCCCTCCATCTCCTGACTCCAGGCATTTTCATTGGCTATCCCACTGCGTACCTGGAATAGCTTCCCTTCTCATCTTCACCTCCAGTTTCTCTGGCTTCCTTCAATCTTTATTTAAGTGCCACTTTCTGAAAGAAGCTTTTCTCAGTTCTCCATAATCTTAGTGCCTCTCTTTCCAGGTCTGGAGAAGGATAAATGTTGTACTAATTGGGCCTTTCCTATTTAACATTTTAATCAATGACTTCAGTAAAGGGATTGAAGGCATGTTTATCCAATTAGCGGTGGCAGATACATAGTGGTAAGGATAGTTAATAGGTTGGATAACAGAATTATAATCCAGAAAGATCCTGACAGGCTAGAAGATTGGGTCAAAAATTTTTTTTTAAGCACACTTGTGATTTCATTGATCCAGGGAGTTCCCAATGAGGACCTACTTCCATTAATGCAGATCAGTACTTTCTGTTCTCAGTGATTCTTTGGGAGTCTGGTACAAACAAACACTAAGAAGGTCGATCAGCCAGTGTAAGGGACTTGAACCCATGCCTTCTTGTCTCTGAGGACGTAACTTTACAAGTACAAGTTAGCAGGGTCCTGCCTAGACAGCATATGAAAACACCTGGGGATTTTAGTGGACTGCATTGTCAATATGAGTCAACAGTGTGATATGGTAGCTTAAAAAAATGTGATCTCAGGCTTTGTTAAGAGATTTGTAGTGTTCAAAATTAAGGAAGTGAGAGTTTTCCATCTGAAATATTACACTTTGTTCTGAGTACTACATCTTAGGAAGGAGATTGATGAGTTGGAGGGCAGCCAGGGTGGTGATAATCCCTTACACCAACCACATTGTATGAGGCTTGATTGAGGAAACTGGGTATGTTTAGAGTAGAGAAGAGAAGAGAAGGTGGGGGTGGGGTGGGAATACAACAACTCTCTTTAAGTATTTGAGGAGTTTTCATCTGGAGGAGCAATTAGATTCATTCTGTTTGGCCCAAGAGAATGAAATCAGCAGTAATGGGTAGAAGTAAATTTAGACTTGATGTCAGGAAAAACTTCTTAACAGTTAGAACTTTTAAAAAGTGAAATGGGCTGCCTTGGGAGATGTTTGAATTTTTCCACCTCTGTTGGGTATATTGCAGTGGACACTTCTTCTGGGTCTGTCTTGTACCAGATGGCGGACGAGGTCCCTTCTGATTCCTGCACTCTGTGATTCTGTGACAAAATGATTTTGTGGGGGGTGGGGGTGGGGAGGGCAGGTCAAGAAGATTAAAGGATGGAGAGGGATGTTGCTTATGGTGGATGGGATGTTGCACAGTAATGAAGAGGAGATACAGAATATGTAAAAATGGTTGATTGGTGGATGTGTTGAGGGGGAAGGGGAGAGAGGGAAGGGAATAAGAATTTATACAACACCTACAATGTGCCTGGTTCTTTACAAATATTATCTCATTTGATCCTTACAACTATCTTGCCAGGTAAGCGCTATTATAACCCCCATTTTACAGTTGAGGAAACTGAGGCAAACAGAGGTTAAATGATTTGCTCAGGGTCACTCAGCCAGTAAGTGAATGAGACTGCATTTGAACTCTGGTCTTCCAGACTTCAGGCCTAGCATTCTATCCACTATACCACCTATCTGCCTATAATTTTATTTGGGGACCTAGTAAGAGGAAATGAAGGCAGCTGGGTGGCGCAATGGATAGAGTGCCAGGCACGAATTCAAATTTGACCTCAGACACTTACTTAGCTGCATGACCTTAGGCAAGTCACTTCACCCTGTTTGCCTCAGTTTCTTCATCGGCTGAAATGAAAAGAGGAAATGAGAATATTTTTTGTTTCAATTCAATTCCACAAATATTTATTAAGATGTGCAAAATACTATGTTAGGTTCTGAGGATATAAAGATAAAATAATCCAAGGGGCAGCTAGGTGGTGCAGTGGATAGAGCACTGGCCCTGTATTCAGGAGGACCTGAGTTCAAATCCAGCCTCAGACACATAACACTTACTAGCTGTGTGACCCTGGGCAAGTCACTTAACCCCATTGCCTAGCCAAAAAAAAAAAAAAAAAAAGATAAAATAATCCTATCCCTCAAGGACCTTAAATTTGTAGTTCGTGAGTAATGTTGCTCTGGGATTTAGTCACTAAGGCCTTTCATATACGTCCCTTCCTCGCTGTTTGTCTTTACTGTTAAACCTTTATTGTCCTCTCTGCCATGTTCCTTATTGGTTCTCATTGCTCTCTTCTCTTTGACAACCCTTCAAATAGCTATTATGTTCTCTAGGATAAATGTGACCATGTTTTTTCAACTCCTCCTCATGAAATATAGTTTCAGGACCTTGTCATCCTGGTTTCGGTCCTCTAGATGCTCACCAGTGTTCAAAAAAAAAATAAAAATTAATACTCTGTGTTCTAGGAACAAGTCTGCTAGAAGTAATTTTTATGAATTTAACATTACTTTAAATCGGGGATTTTTAGACCTCCAAGAGGTGTGTGAATAGATTTTCAGGAGTCCATGAACTTGAATAGAAAAAAAATACATTTTTATTTCCATATAAATTGTTTTCTTTTGTAATTTTTTGTATTTTATTTTATATATTTAAAAACATTATCCTGAGAAAGGCTCCAGAGGCTTTGCCAGACTGCTGTGGCCTATGACTCATGAAGTTTAAGAATCTTTGATCTACATTCTAGTATTTTCCTGCTTTAGGGAGAGATGTCCAAACAAGCAAAGTCTAGCCTCCTCATGCCCTTAGTCACGTCTCTAACATAAGTCATTTTGAAGTAACATAGACATCTTGTAAAAAATTTTTAACATGGGCATCCTAAGGCAAATTTCACAATAAAATAAAAATGTTGCACAGTTTACAGTTAACATTCTACTTTATCTAATAATTCAACATAATTTTTTTCATCATCTTCCTAAACCCACTTATCCCTTTTTGACTCCTCCCTCACAGAATCCCTTTCTTCCGCTCTCCCCATCCCCTATGATGATTTTTTGTACTTTTTTTTTTTAGGCAATTGAAGTTAAGTGACTTGCCCAGGGTCACACAACTAGTAAGTATCAAGTGTCTGGTTTGAGGTTGGATTTGGGCTCAGGTCTTCCTGACTCCAGGGCCAGTGCTCTATACATTGTGCCACCTGGCTGCCCCTCCCCATGATGATTACTGAAGGAATCAAAGGGCACTTCTTCCTCTTTCAATGGGGAAGCTGGCTGCTGTCCTTGGGTGGGTCAATACTCTAATCTAGGGGTAGGGAACCTGGGGCCTTGAGGCCACATGTAGCCTTCTAGGTCCTGGGGTGCAGCCTTTTGTCTGAGTCCCAGTGTTACCGAACAAATCCTTTTATTAAGAGAATTTATTCTGTGAAGTTTGGATTCAGTCCAAGGACTGTTTGAGGACCTAGAGGGCCACATGTGGCCCTGGGGCTGCAGGTTCCCCACCCCTGCAATCCCTTTGGTGGATGGGGGAAAGGAATAATCTTAACTAGAAATGAGATTTTTTTTTTTTTTTGGCAAGGCAATCAGGGTTAAGTGACTTGCCCAGGGTCACACAGCTAGCAAGTACAAGTGTCAGAGGCTGATTTTGAACTCAGGCCCTCCTGACTCCAGGTCTGGTGCTCTATTCACTGTGCTACCTAGTTGCCCCTGATATTTCTTCCTCTAAGTAATGTTATACTCTTGATTGTTTTCTGGGATCTTAGCTTTCATTCTTGACTTTTTCATACACTCTCCTAAGAGAAAGATGTTAAGCCTAAGAAACAAGTAAAAAGAGTCTTTAGTGCAGGGCACTATTTACTCTGAAATTTGGTTAAGTTTTAATTAACTTTTCTTCCTTCAGATAAGTTTGGAAAGAACTCTAGACTGGAAAAATTTATTTCTTATTATTTCTGGTTGACCTAAAAACCTCTTTAACATGCAGTATCCTTCCTAAAATGTGGCACCCAAAGCTGAACACTACCCCACATATGTTCTAACCAAAGCAGGGTAAAGCAGGACTATCACCTTTCCTGTTATGGACATTTTTTTT